TGTATGTATATATATATATATATATAAATGTATATGTCGATGCATGTCATTGTGCATGCAGCATATGTATGCATAGAGTATACGAGACTTTTTGGAAAGTTGTATATGTTCGTCCTGAAACCGGGTATAAATGGGTATACCTCAAAAGCGTCCTCAGGTGGCGAATCGGAGTCCGAAAAGGAAGACGCTTTGCTGGCGCGCTACAAGTGCCTTGGTGGTGCCGGTGGGCCTGAGAAGAAATCGGAAATCTGAAAGGGACAGAAAACAATGGGTTTGGAAGATGGATAGTTCGGAGATTGAAATTGCTATAGGTTCAAGATGGGTTTGTTTGAAGCTTCATCCTCACTTTCCCTGGTATGGCCATTTGGATGAATTTGCGGCGCATGGTTCCATGTTGACTTGTGACAGAACGTGCAGTAGTTTGAGAATCTGACCCTTACAATCTTTGGAAGTTCCGCGGATTGTTGCCAACCTGTCATGTGCAATGTGGCCGTCCCAGTTATATGTTAGTTTGTCAAGCCAGTGAACTCTAGGTAGAATCACCATCAATCAACAATTAATTTAGTGGTAGTGAAAAACATGTTGGGGGCCCCGCTTTGGAAAGTGGATTAGGTTTTTCAACATGTTGAGCCCAACAAGACCATCATAGGTCGAGATAATCAGCTTGTTCACTAGGTGTCGTTTCTGGCAACACCTCAAACCAAATTCAGTCCAAACCGACCTAACTGCATGTATTCAAACTCTTCATTGCTACATATTGTAAGTATGCATATGTATATAGTATATGTACAGTTGTAAGGCCTTTTACCAGCTATCAGTCAGTCATTACACTTATTATGGAATAATAGCCCCATCAATAATCACTCATATCTCGTATATAAAGGGCCTTAACTGTACGTATGATGTAGGAACAGATCAAGCTAAGCATCTATCCTCTCATCACAAACGGCTCAGGAAAGGCTCCTGATTTCGGCTGGTAGCGCTACCAGCTGGTCGAATGTGACGTTACCGATGTGACCGAAAAAAGTGCCACTGCAGCTGGGTGAAACGTGGTGGTTTTTTCCTGATAGATGGATTTTCCTATTTAAAGAACCTAAAACCTCCAGTTTATATACATAACATGGTTCCAGTTGTCAACCAGTTTTGGATGTCAGCAACAAAACACGTGTATCGTTAGTTGCAATGTTATATCCCCATTTAATTTATAATTGGTAAAGGGTTTTAACTTTAACTGTGGCCAATCTGTTCTGGAAATTGTCCCATGTACATGTACATCTTGGGATTCTTAAAGATACATCACGGTGCTCGCAACTTTTGGGCACTTGAAGGCGAAACAGCAATATTGGATGGGGGGTTGCGTTTCATGCATTTTCACGCACTCAATTAGAAGAAGGTGTTTGCAGGAAAGATTACAAGTGTTTTCGTAGTGGTGGATTTTTTTTGCTCGTATTGTGTGAATCTGTGAAGCTTGACGGTTTCAGTTGCAAACAGAAATGGAGGGTTCCTAAAATGGTGGTACTCCAACATCATCCAAAATTGCTTCTATTATCAACGGGAAAACCATTGGTTTGAGGATCCATATTGTAAGGAAATCTCGATGTAAGCATATCGTAACAGAGCTCCCCATATCCCAACTGGAGATGAACCCGCCATGGTGGCACGAAGTGGTGCCACCCTTGGGGATGTTTGTTGGTTAGCTTGTGACCCCATCAAACTATAGACAGATACCCTATAAACCATAGGTATTGGAGCTATAAACCGACTTAACCCGATCTAACTATAGATAAATCTTATAAACCATAGGTATTGGAGTTATAAACCGACTTAACCCGATCTAATTATAGATATCTCCTATAAACCATGGTTATTAGACTTTTATTGGACTTATAAATCGACTTAACCCCATTTAACTATAGATACATCCCCTACAGAGCATAGGTATTGGAGTTATAAACCGAGCTATTGCTGTTATACATGAACTTAGGTGTCGTTTTGGGGCACGATTTTGTTTGAATATCCTCAGCCTTGTACGTTTTTTCGGTCTCCCGGCGTATTCGTCGGCTCAGTCGGGCTCAACTTCGACGCTGAAACTATCCATGCGCATGCCCTGCAAATTTGTCCCTTGATTGATACGGGATTCAAAAATCAAGCGTTCCCTTCTGATCAGTTTGAATCTGTAAACTCGCTAATTTTACTCTACATATATATATATATTTATAAAGATATGTATATATATATATTTACACACGCATATGTCCTATGATTGGATTACAACCCCAACCATCCAGTTCCAATACTTGGATTCAGTTAGCCCCAAAATAAATACACCTCTGAATCGCGGGGGGAAGATTGCCCCTTCACCAATCTCCAGTCATGATGGCTGAGACCATAGCTGCGCAGTATCTTTCACAGACTGCTGGTGCCAGTTATTCGCATGTTCTTCCATCTCAGCTAAATGTGAGGAGGATCTGCAGATGAAAATTCATATTGTTCATTTTTTTGGTGATCATTACAAGGTGGTGTTCCCCAGTTACAACTATATATATATACACCAAAAAAACAACAATTAATCTACAAGGTGGTGCCCACCAGTTATGATTATATATTAGTTTATGACTCCATCTATATAACTATAGATATTTCGTATACAGGCATTGGAGGTATTTGCACCAACTTAGCTATCGTTTTGGGTGCACCACTGCTGGCCATGGCAGCCATGGCGGGGATGGGCATTTTTTGGCTCCCGCAGCGTGGTTGCACGTGGTGACTCCGGCAATGTCAACATTTGGTTGATGGTTTCACCCTAGGCTATAGTTTTCTATATACTTACATATATATATATAGATATACATACATGCATGTTTGTTTATTTGATATTTCACTTATAATCATATAATAATATATATATATATATTTAAATGAAGGCTCATGTCGAAATTCCCAAAGTCTCTTCTTTGCGGGATTTGATACGGGTGGTTTTTTTTTACTATTTGGGGTTTTATGTGGGGTGCTATGTTCTGGTGGAGAGAGGGATTATTGCGGATCATCACCTCAATTTGCGGGAGAACTTCCCAGCGATTCTCACCACAAAAGATGGTAAGCAATTGTATAATGGTCATTTAAAAATATGTTGGTTTCAGTTAGATGAATTGTCATTGTTTCGTCAGATGCACAGGATTCTCCGCACCAAAAACCAAGAACATGTTCAGGTAATTTGAGGTACAGTTATGGTTCGAAATGGCAGTCAAAAGTCAGTAGTCACCCCACTTATAGAATGATATCTGATAACCGCATTAAAATAGCATTTATAATCGGTAAAGGGCTTTAAGTGTAGTATGCCATATCACTCATATCCGAATTGTGTGGGAGTTCTCCCCATCCCTGTTGACTTTCTCATCTTTACGAGTTTTGCCAATCGTTGGTCCGTTGGTCCAAGTCAGCTGCAAAAATAGTTGGATTTGAAGTTGGAAATTGTACAAGTATGGCCCAATTCAACAGTTATAAATGGGACTATTTCATGATATATAACCAACTAGTTATAGGAGGTATAATCCGGTTTATAGCTGTTAAGTTTCATAACTGTGGAAATTGTAGGTAACATGACTCCTTCCACTGTATTTTTCCTGACTATACAGCTAACGAGTGATTTTACTCTCCATGCTTGAGAGAAACTTAATCTGTGTTGGGGCGGAGCCAAAGACCAGTCTGCTTCAGGACCAAATCTGGTATCTTCAAATGGTTATGGGTATGGGTGCCCCAAAAAGAATCTTATAAAATACAAACCTCGAAAACAACAAATCAGGACCCAGGTTCGGAGACAAAAAACACAAAATCATTGTGGAGTACACATATATATATATATACAGTATATATATATATTACCAATCTTAAGTTATATACATTTATAGGATCTAAAGATTTAAGTCCAAAGGGTTTGGGGCAACGGTGTGGGCAGGAATATGGATCCAATCATCTTGCAAGTCCAGTCTGAATTATAGTGACCTCACTGTGACTGGAACCTTGGTAGTATGGGAAATCATCCCCATAGCTGGCCTTATTTTAGGTCAGTGACATGTTATAATTCACTGGTGGGAACATCTTCGCCGGAAACCATGCTTTCCCCATCAAATATCGGGGTGTCCTGCATTTTTTCCCACCAATCCATTGAAAAATTTACGATGAGCCCATGGCTCCCTATGTTGAGTCGCTATCCTCAGGTTCTTGGCCTTGGCAGATGAGCAGGTGATGTTGCAGCTGTCCAAAAGTCCCACGGAAACTTAGCAACATTGTGAACTCTCTGGGGGAATCCAGATCTATCGGGTCTTTGTTGGGAGCTTGGTGCGACATGATGTTTTACCCACAATCAATAGAATATGTTTTAAAAAATAGACTTTAGGATTATATATAATGTCAACCCTGGATTAATAAACCCCTAGGCTGTTTAATTGGGGGGTACCATTTATGAATCATATTGTGACCATTTGGAGAGTACAAGTAAAACACCGTGTTGATCAATCCGGAGTTGACATTATATATATATAATATGCTGTTTGTACATATATATAGGGATATTTCCTCAAACCCAAAAAATGTTGTTGTTGTTGTTGTTGTATCTAAAGCTTAAATCATACAATTCGGGAGTTTGGAAAACCTTGTCGTTGGCTTCAGACCCCCTTTAGCTGATGCCCACTCCTTCGGAGGAAGCCGAAGTCCCGGTTGCAGGAACTCCTTTGGACATTAAGAAACATCATTGTTAAATAATCATGGAATATCAGCGACTAATTCAATACTGTGAATGAGTATACTTCAGTGATATTGATGTGTTCATCAGATGTATGAAATATGATTTCAGAAACTCAAAATCAGTTTGATATATGATATGAGCATGTTCAAAATCAGTAATTATATTGAATAATGGGATACTTGTATTGAATAATAACATTCAAATATCACACGAAAATATGTGAATCTCCTTTCGTGGGATTTTTGTTTCTCAGGACATGCTTTGCAGCTGCGGGGATCATTGTCCCAGCATGGCAGCAGCCAAGAATTTCCTTGTCAACAGCCTCTTGGATTCGGTTGTGTCAAACGTTTGGGTTTGTTTACCTCCAAATTAGTGCCCATGTATATGCATCTTATGTACACTTTATGCACTTTGGAATAGAGAAAATCAAGAAAAAAACATTTTTTCAGACAAGACCATCATACCGGGCGACATGGTTTTTGAGATGCCGATATGGCATCATTTTGGAATTACAGGCTCTATAGGGTATTCAAAAAAAGTATGGTTTCAATTCGGCTTCTTGAAGCAATCAAAAGCATCGTTTGATGTCAGTTATCCAAAAAGCCAATGAAATCAAGAAAATATAATCCCACCAATTTACCCAAATCTGGATTTTGCGTCAAAATAATCATCCAACGAACAAGAGAACAAGTTTGGGATTTCTCCAGGCAGATGTCGAATTTTGGGACCGCGAAATTTAGCTTCCAACTTCATGGGTTGCTAAAGAGGAAGGGTCACTGGCAGCAAAAGTCTTGAAGCGAAAATGATTTGGAATTGCTTTCATGTCACGATATGTCAAAGCTGCCTTCTGTGGAGAATTTTGATGTGAAAAGGTTCTTGCAATAGTGTGTCCATGCCACTTACTCCGGAGAAAGTTTAAAAAAATGCTGAACAATCAGCCATATAATGTGATAATGAAAAGCAAATCGGATTGGAGCCGCTGGTCCAATCTCAACCAGTTCGTCAACCTCATCAACATGCGAATGGTTCGTATTATATATTTTGCATTTTAAGAATAGGAAAGTACAAGCGCATTTTCAAGGACTTCCAGCGCATTTTCAAGGACTAAATGCCACTCTTCACATGTCGTTTCATGGCTACATCCACTCAGCTATTGGTTGCCCTATGGATTCTCCAATGACGTGGCTGAGAGTGGGACCCCCGTTGGTTTTGTTTGGCCCATTTGCCTATAGATACTTCATCACTACAAACCCTAATTACCCTAGTTGTATATAAACCAACTTAGCAGTCTATTCCAGTGGTTTGACCACTAAAAATCGAGGTTCAACAATTGGGGTTGAAATTCAAACAATGAATGTGTGGTTTTTGTGATTATGTCACTTTGTGTCACCATTCTATTGCCCTTATCGCTGAAACAAAATCACCAGGTTTCCATCAATATGCCCCCAAACTAACCCAACAGACATATTGTGGTCAGAATATCCTCCCTAAATGGTCCTTAAATAGTGATGCAGTTGCTGAAAACCAATTGAACAACACAAAAAACACGTGTAAATCCCTATGTCTGTTGGTTCTACCAGCATTTTTCAATTGTTCGAACCATTTACCAACCTACAAATCACCACCTAACCGTGGCCCCTGCCGCCCAGGCTGTATCGAGAATTCCAAGCAGGCCGTACTCTGCACTGAGGGTGCGGATGCTGCCTTCGCAGGGCATGCCTTGGATGGGACCTTTGATGTGGCCATTTGCTCGGTGCCTCGGTACAAAAAAGCCTTGATTATAGCATGGGTTTTCCCATATAACGACCTGCGACCGAACCCTGGAATGATGGTTAGGGGTAAATATCCCAAGAAAGTCTTATTTCAGGTTAGTGAAACATTAAGATGCACCTAGATAAACAACCGCTTTCTACCCATGTTCCTTCCTTGGTGAGGTGCTGCAGCGCATCTTTAGTCAGTTGGGTTTCCTGGGAAACAGCAGCGGCTCCACGGGAATCTTCGGCGCCGACGGCGTCTTCGGCTCGGAGCTGGAGCACACGTTGTGGAGGTGATCGGGGGACGGGATGGCTGGTGTGGATTTTGGTGGTACAGTTATGTATGGCCCTTAACTAACAGTTATAAATGGGACTATAACCAAAGTTATATATCATTATAATCCCATGTTTTAACTGTTAGTTGGGCCAGAACTGTACATGTCACTATTTGAATCTGATAAGTTCGCTATTTGAGCATTCGTTTCATGACTTTGATTCCCATAGTTTGGTCTTTTCATGATTTCACCAGAGACTTTCGAAGTAATCCCCTCCATGTCTTCATTTTGGAAGCTGGAAGAAGAGCCAAAGATTGAAATCCGTGGTTTGGGGTTGAGCATGGACCGCCATAAGTTGGGATATAAAGATATAACCAAGCAAAAATAGTGCTATTTCTGGAAGTTTCCAATCCATGGGGGTACCCAAAGTTATCATCCATTTTCATGTGATGTCCATTATAAACCAACTATTTTCGGGATCACCCATGTATGGAAACCCCCATATGTATAATGATGGGTTTAGTGGTACCCCAATTTCGAAGCATACAAATAGCCATGAACAAGTGGATGTTTCCTAAAATGGTGGCACCCAAAAAACATGCATTTCAATACTAAAAAATTGTCTAATTTCAGTGGAGTATCCCTATTTTAACATTTGTAAAAAGGAAACCTCCAACTGTTGATGTACCAATATTGAAAATATAGCTAAACAGCTAAATAGCGGGTATATACACAAATTGTGCAATGAATAACTGTATATGGTTTGTGGTTATTGAACGGTTATCGACGGTTAATCCAGGCTTCGAAAGGGTAAACATGGGAGACTTAAGTGACTTTGTCCATAGCGAATGTGTTGTTTGTGCAGTGTTATACCAAAATCACCACTTAAATGGGTTATATATAGCCCTCGCCCAAAGGTAGGATATTGGTAGATAACTATATTATAACCACCGGGTTATACAATGACGAAAAGCGAGGGGTTCCATGGGTTCCGATCCCTGGTCTATAGATGATTTTTCCAACCTCCATCACCGGGAGGCGCGAGAGGGGACTGAGACGCGATGCCGAAAGGAAGAGCCAGGCCCAGGCGCGCCACTATTCCATGGACGCGGAGGTCGCCAACAACACAGACGCTCAAGGTCGCGTGTCCTAAATGGAGGTGTCCTATAGGTCATGGGGGTGCCCCAATAGTTGGAGGGTTTATAATGGAAAATACCACCAAAACGGAAAATACCCCATGGATTGGAAAACTTCCAAATGTTGATATATGATGGGATGGAAGAGCTCCGAGAAACAAAACGGATGATCAGATGGAGAAAACCCTGTCTTGAACGTCGCTGGTTATTTTTCCTGTAGCCAGTATAGATCTGGATTTTTGGTGGCATGCTTGGCCTGGGCAGAAGGTGTGGTGAGGTTTATCTTTGTGAATTATTCACCATGATTTTCCAATATAGCCGGATGGATTAACGCTATACACTTAGGTTCAAAGTGTAGGGTTAGATGTATTCACAGCTTATCCCACAATTGTCCCATCAGGGTCACGGAAGATTAAGTTCCTAGCAGGGGATCAACAAAGCACCAAGATTATTTAATACAATCATACTATATATATGTGTGTATATATACAAATATACATATATATATATATGGTATACAGATATACATGTTATATATATATGTACATATGGAAATATGTTTAGATCATGCATGTCAATATTGCTGTTGAACTTCAACAAGCCTGATGAAACCCAAGAACATCTAACTTATGACCTTGAAGTTTCTTGCCCGGGAGAATCGCGTAGCGCAAAAAATGATGGCGTTGCCCAATGAATGTGTCAAGTTGGGGTACCCATTCTCAGACCCATATCCATATCCCAGTTATTCCACCTGTTTGGGGTAAAGGCTTCAGGTTTATATACTCTGTTCATGATGGGCGCTCGTCACTGTATGCCAAATCCCAAGGGTATCCCCATTCCATGCAGCTATGGGCCGATACCAGTTGTTTACCAGTATTAAGTCAGTACCCCATTTCAGGCATGATAAACTCCATTCGTTACATCTTACATCTGATATGACTTGATATGTCGGGATTTGATTTTTGGAACATCATGATCCTGACTAGGTCTGAATATCGGAACTGTCATCATCACCCATGGGGATGCCAACAACATCTCAGTGTCCAATGACCATTCGGTTACATGGCGCTGTTGCGGACAGAGCAGAACGGGAAGGGCCAAAGAATTGGAATTGAAACAGTGCAGCGGTGAGAACTATAGGGTGATAAGGCACAACAAACCAGTGATATTATCAATGGATGTTGATTCCGTTGCTGAATATCGTAATTGATGCTACTCCCCCAGGATAAGTGGTCTAGTCCTCTTCCAAGATGTTTTTTTTTGTATACGGTAGTGATAAACATATGTGTGTATGTATCAATGTGATCTTAAGAGGATTTTCTTGCTGTGTAGCAATCAAAACTACCGGTTTCTCGATTTTGATTTCGGTGTGTGAAGAAATCGCTGCTGGGTCCAACCCCAAACATCCGTTGGGAAATATGATTCGGTGATCTCGGTACACCTTGGATGGTTTAAAACACCTCAATTTTGGCAACATCGCCGTTGAGCCAATTGGTTCAGGATAGTACTATCCTTGGATTTTAGCAAGTTAATTATGTTTTTTTCATATTTTCGGCCAAGGGTTGAAATTTGATGGATGGTTTAAGGTAATTTTGATTGGAATCTTGACCTATTGGCTAAGCATTGAAATCTTTTCAAGCCATATAAGCTTGGCAATGTGATGTGCACCATTTTGACACTGGAGTTGTGACCCCAACTGGGGCTATCACTGTACCACGAGGTTTTTGAACCTGCTGTAAGAGCCTCCTTTCCAGTACAAAGGCAGTTGAGTTTGGAATGTGCTCCTTGAATGTGCTTTCCAGTGAGTAAAGTAGGTTTGTCTGAAAAGTATGGGAAACACCTGGTGCATTACCATGTTCCCTATTATTAAAATTGCCATTTCGAGGTATCCACATTTTCGGAGACGCCCAAGTGGTTTTGAATATGTTAAAACGCCGTATAAATGGTGATATTCTATATATATATGTGTGTAATTTGATTGTAATATGATTACTACCCACTTACGATTCCCAGAATGCACCCCCCACGTGCGCAGTCCTCCATGTGCAATGCGATCGCCTTGCAAATGTCGAGCTATTTCAGTAAAAAAAGGGATGCGGTAGACACAGCCAGACGTTTCTCTTATTCATGTGGAAACTGCAGATATGGATTGTACTACCCTCTGGTACTCAAACATCGCAAATCTACCATTTTATGTTCCCACAAAAACCTTCATAGACGATTTTCCCATCAAATCCTCCATGTATATTGATTATTAGTGTATTTTCTATGTTTTGTTCATTAAATCTTCCGTCCCGTGGCAATCTTTATGTTTTGTATGGTGCATGTAGTTTCTTTGTAGATGTTTTGTCTGGGCCCCACCACCCTGTCCAGGTACACACCACCCTGTCCAGGTAGATTCTTCGAGTGGCAACCGTGACAATACGGTGGAAACGGGGTCCAACAATGAGGCGCGGATGGGCCAAACTGTAGAACACGTTTCTTTTTTTCGAAAGTCTCAGTTTTTGAGGCCCATCTCACCTTTTTTAGGGGGCTCCAAGTCTGACAACCCATTTCGAGGTTCCTTTCAACAATGGCAACAGAGTTTCGGTGGGCAGCGACAACACGGTTCCGATTGGGAGCGGCAACGTGGTCCCGATCGGCAGCGGCAATGTGATTCCGATTGGCAGTGGCAATGTGATTGTTCCGATTTGGAGCGGCAACGTGGTTGGCAACGGAAATTTGGTCGTTGTCCCTGTTGGTAGCGGCAATGATGTAAGCGTTCCAGTTGGAAGTGGCAACCAGGTCATTGTTCCAGTTGGAAGTGGCAACCAGGTGATTGTGCCTGTGGGCAGTGGCAATGTCGTTGTCATCCCGCTGGGGAGCAACAATACTATCAACATTGTCAGTGCCAATGCCAGCAATACAAGTTCCAGGTGAGCGTGTGAGACGGTGCCAATGAGTCTTGGCATCCTTAAACCCTAAACCCTAAACCCTTCAGTGGACTAACTTTGACAATGCTTTGGGCTTGTACTTCAAAAGTTAAAGCTTTATCTTTTTTTTGATTTGGTGATGACATGTATTTGGTGTAAGCCCCCCATACACTACTGAATTCACGATGCTTCACGACAATGGTGACCCTGATTCCAGTTTCCTATCTTCATTGTTTTAGTTCCCAGTCAATGAATTACTTCGACTTGATTCCCTTTAGTTCCCAGTCAATGAATTACTTCGACTTGATTCCCTTCCCTTCAGTCAGAACCTGCATTCTTCTTTGCATTGTAACTATGTAGGTTGCATAGTCGCAATATGTTAGATTATTGCACCCATAGTGAATAGATGAAGTAATAAACAAAATTCATTGGAGTTTTCACCGGTTTTCTACCTGTTTGTTGCTTTCTTGTTGTGAGGATACCGGTGCTCCTTTAGAACGAATTCAAGCACGTGTAGTTCGATCACTGAGCTGGACGCGCAAATTATTTGACAAAAAAATCATGTGAAAATGATGATGAATGGGATTGGATGGCGATCTTATTATGGTAATTTCAGTTGAATTTAGATGGCTTTAGCCAATTTCGGTATTTGAAAATTCTTTGGTATTCAATCAATCTCAAGCATAATTAAATGGAAAATCCCATAACAATTTGAATTTAAAAATCATTTGTTGTATATTATAAATGATGTAATATTATATAAAATATATATAGTATATAATATATATATATATTATATATAATATATATAATATATATAATATATAATATATAATATATATAATATATATAATATATATAATATATATAATATATATATAATATATATATATATATATAATATATACCCATATATATAATATATATTATATATATAATATATATAATATATATTATATATATATAATAATATTTATATATATTTAAAGGCTTACGCCTGACAGCCGGGCGCCGGCCAAGCAACGACTTTTGGCTTATGGTGTGGGAAGATTGGGCCGAGATTCTTCGCGCAAACCCAGGGGGGGCTATGTTGAACTAAGGCAGGCATAATGCCCAGTGCTTGCCTGTATGGAAGCAGTTTGGGCATATGTTGAGCGCAGGTTGTGCCCATGTTGGGCCAAGTCGGGCCCATGTTGAGCCATCTTGCGCCCAGCTTGGGCTTATGTTGCGCCAAGTCGGACCCATGTTGAGCCATGTTGGGCCCATTTTGGGCCTATGTTGGGCCAAGTTGGGCCCATGTTGCGCTATGTTGGGCCCATCTTGGGCCCATGTTGGGCCTATGTTGGGCCGATGTTGGCCTATGTTGGCCCTATGTTGGCCCATGTTGAGCCCTCTTGGGAGCTATGTTGGGGCCATCTATGTTGAAACGATCTTAAGATGCCATTTTTTCCGTTCCGGGCCCCCTCCTGGACCAAAACCACGTAAAAACCAATGTTTTTTAACATCGCCAAGATGTTTTTTTTTTGCCGCCGAAGGGCCTGAAACACCGTAAAAAACGATGTTTTTGTAACACCGCAAGCAAAATGCACCGTAAATTATATAGGTCCTTCCGTCCGTCGGGCCGGGAGTGGTCTGGGGGTGGGTGGGTCGGTGGCAGGGCCGGCCACGCCTATAACCTTCGGTTACCACCGAAGGCCTCCGGCAAGGACATGGGCTCGGGGCCGGCGCCCGGATTTATGAGGCTTACGCCTGACAGCCGGGCGCCGGCAAAAGTAGACCCGGCAGCCCGAGCTGTTGTTGTTGTTGTTGTTGGTGGTGGTGGTGGTGGTGGTGGTGTTGTTGGTGTTGTTGTTGGTGTTGTTGTTGGTGTTGTTGTTGGTGTTGTTGGTGTTGCTGTTGTTGTTGCTGTTGTTGTTGTTGTTGTTGTTGTTGTTGGTGTTGTTGTTGTTGGCCGATGGTGGCCCTATTTGGGCGCAGGTTTGCCCCTGTCTTGGCCCTAGGCTGGCCCATGTAGCCCCACATCTTGGCGTAATGTCGACCCAGGTAGCCCACATCTTGGCCGATGTTGGCCCTATCTTGGCCTATGTAGTCCCTATCTTGGCCTTAGGTCGGCCCATGTAGCCCACATCTTGGCCGATGTTGGCCCTATGTTGGCGCAGGCTTGCCCCTATCTTAGCCTTATGTTGGCCCATGTAGCCCTTATGTCGGCCCATGTAGCCCACATCTTGGCCGATGTTGGCCCTATGTTGGCGCAGGCTTGCCCCTATCTTAGCCTTAAGTTGACCCATGTAGCCCACATCTTGGCCGATGTTGGCCCTATGTTGACACCAAGGCCGTCAAGATGTCCAGTTTTCCGTTCCGGACCCCTTCCAAAGACCCAAAACCATGAAAAACCCATTGTTTTTTAACGTCGCCAAGGTGAAACCTGGAGACGGCGAAGGCCACAAAACCCTGTAAAAAACGATGGTTTTTGAACACCACACGCAGAATACACTGTAAATTACAGGGCACGGCTCCGGGGCCGGCGAACCGGAATCGACACGAGGTCGACACGAGGTGGTCGGCGGCAGGGGGGGCAGCCGTATACTTCGGTTACCACCGAAGGCCCCCGGCGAGGACACGGGCGCGGGGCCGGCGCCCGGATCTAAGGGCTGCCGCCCCTGCCGCCGACCCCGGGCATGTATTTCCATTCTGACCCAGCGGTGCCTGAAGCTGATTTGCACGTGCTTTCCGGGGCCATGGCCTTTGGGGGTGTACCCTGGGCGCTGGTCCCGGTGCAGCGTGCATTCTGGCGGATCAGCAGATCAGTTTCGGAGACTGAGAACTCATGAGAGATACTAGACGGCTGCTGCCGTTGCTGCTGGTGCTGCTGCTGCTGCTGACAGAAAAGTACCAGAAGCACCTCCCGGCAGCAAAACAGCAAGGCACGGAAGGACGAACAAGCCACAGAATCGCACCGAAAAACTGCCTAACGTCCCTTCTGAAACCCTACTAGAACTGAGAGACATGAGTGAACTCATGACAGATACTAGACGGCTGCTGCCGTTGCTGCTGCTGCTGCTGACAGAAGGGTACCAAAAGCACCTCCCGGCAGCAAAACAGCAAGGCACGGAAGGACGAACAAGCCACAGAATCGCACCGAAAAACTGCCTGACGTCCGTTCTGAAACCCTACTAGAACTGAGAGACATGAGAGAACTCATGAGAGATACTAGACGGCTATAGAAATTGATGATTTTAGCTGCTGTAGTAGTAGTAGTCGTCGTCGTCGTCGTCGTGGTGGTAGGTAGGTAGGTAGGTAGGTAGGTAGGCAGGCAGGCAGGCAGGCAGGCAGGCAGGCAGGTAGGTAGGTAGGTAGGTAGTAGGTAGTAGGTAGTGCAAGCGGTAGAAGTGCTCAAGTAGGATATGAAGAGTCACTGGAATCGATTGGACAAGGAGGGGTGTTCAACGCCTCATGAATCTCGCTCTGCGGCTCTTTTCAGCCAATACTTCACGGAATAGGCATGTCAACGCCTATGAGTGCTGTGGTAAAAACAGCATGCCCCCCGCATCTTCTTTCTCCTTATGAGATAGTGATGCTACCCCTTGAACTTTTTCTCCAAAACCAAAACCAAGACAAAGAAAAACCAAACAAGACGAAAATCATTCCGTGGGTTTCCATGGTGTCTCCGGCTCGGTTTCTGGCCCTTGACTCTTTCTGTTTTCAAGAGGCTCCAGGCCTAGCAGCTTCCTTTTCCGAGCTGACGCTCTTTCTTCATCTTCGACTATGCGCCACTTGTGGCCCATGCGGTAGAACAGGTGCAGTTGCTTGTGCTCGTTGCTCTTGGTCAGCCCGTTTGATAGCTGAGCTTCACTATGAACCCATCTAATCTCCACAGCATTGCGAATCTGGGCATATTTCAAGGAGAGTAACTCCAGGTCTGTTCTCTTCTCAGCGCCCTTCACGGACAAGACCTCGGTCTCTAACTTGTCGTACACATTCCTGGAGTCAGTAACCAGGCATCCACTGATCTGGTTGACGACACTGTTGATGTCTCTCACATTGACCTGAGCTCCCATCATTTCTGCCAGTTGGAATCTCGCAAAAAAGAGGAGATCTTCTCCGTTGTTTGCTGCTGCTGCTTCTGCTGCTCCGGGGCTGCGGCAGATCCTGCCAATCTTTTGCGAATGCCAGGCGACAAAGGTGACTGGCTCACAGCTGCCATGACGTAACCGGTGAGATGAAATTCCAACTATAATGCCTTGTGTGCTTGAGCCATCTACGCGGTTCTGAGAGGCGGCATCTACCCATGCAAACAGTGACAACATGTGTGGTTCTATGGCATGTACCTTCATGCAGTGTTCTTTCATGTCTTTGACTTTGTCAAGTAACCTGTTAGCCTTGTAAATGGTCTCTATAGTACTCTTGTTCACCTCTGACAACAGCAAGCCAACTTCAGCACTGAAGTGGGGCGCAACTTGTTGTGCGTGCCATGAGACCCCTCCCAGCAAGGCCCTAAGCTGTGTTTTCTCAGACTCCTCAGTGAGTGCATTTCGGTCTTTCTTCCTGAAGGCTCTCAGGTTAATATATTTCAAGTCTTCAACATACTTCGGTTATGACAACGAAAAAGAAAAATCTTCATGTTGTTCCACTTGAACTCCGCATTGGGTAAACCTTTTTTCTTCCCAATCTCCCCATTTATATTCCGTTTGGATACTCTTGAGAACAGTACACCAACCCTCATGTGTTTCATCCCCACTAAAAAGGAAATCATCAACATGACCAGAAATAATCCCTTTGGTAACCCCATCAACCACATAAACCCAGCAGCATGCGTCACTCCAGCATTTTTGCAATCCGAGTTTCGCAAAGAAATCGGAAATGGAACGATACCATTCCAGTGGCGCATCAACTAAGCCATAGCAGGCTTTCTTCACTTTGGTGATTGACTCTGCTGGGAGTCCCATCCTTTCACAGATCTCTGGGCATGGTATACAAAAAAGGTCATCAGGGTATGGCCTGCTTTGCAGGAAAGCACCTGTCACATCACCTTTTCGCATCTTGTGGCGATATGAAGCGGCTAATTGCATCTGCAGTTGCCTGGTCTGGCGAGTCGTGGTTGGAGAAGTCGTTGCTCTCTGTTCATAGCATGGATCTTGGTATCCTAAGAGGACGGCTCTGGCTTTCGCCTTTCGGCTGCCATCCTCCTTCTGCTTCCATGTCAGTATCCAACGCATCTTCACTGCTTGTTCGCGTGCTGGGCGAAGTTTCTCTGGAAGGGCTTCAAAAGCCTTGGCAGCTATGAAGTTACTCACTTCCACGGCCTTTGCAGATCGGAACTGTTGTCGCTCTTCCTCAGATAGGTGACGCTCACAGACTTCAACTGCTGACCGTTTCTTCAAGCTACTGGCAAAGTAAGAAGGGAGATCTCGAAGAGCTCGTTCAGATCCAGCACGTGTGTCTGGCATGGGAACCTCCACGGCCACGGCCGCGGTCTCATCCATCCAGAAGGTGCATTCGGTGACTGCGAACACTTCCTGGATACTTGACTGGTTCCACCATGGTGGGGCAGCAGCGAGGCCTCTGTGAC